CGTCGTCCTAGCGGAAATAGACGAGAGAAGAACCCTCCAGCAACGCTTCTTCAGGGCGCGACCTTCTGCGACCAGTGTCAATCCTGTCACCTCTTTCTATAATACCTCCACTCCTCCCACAACTCCAGATAGCAGAGCAAAAACTCCTTCGGGTACAAGGTCTGCAGCCCAAAGCGTCCTGCACGGTGGTAATGCCGGTAATGAGCTGGTGGAGTGCAATAGTCCACGTGGATGGTCATCTCGAGAAAGAGTGAAAGCAGTCACCAGCGTCGCGATTAGTCCGAATGGGGGTCTGCTTGCCGTTGGGGAGGTATGTCTCCGTAAATTAACTTGTATCAACTCACTCCTATGCTGATATTTGTTAGATTGGATATGGTCCGAGGGTCCTTATCTACTCAACCGCCAAAGGCGCCTCTGGTGAAGTCCCACTCTCCATTCTGACCGAGCATACGTTTGGGGTGCGTGGACTGGCTTTCAGCCCAGATTCACAGTATCTTGCCACCCTTGGCGATGTCAATGATGGATTCCTGTTTGTCTGGTCCGTGAACCCGAAGACAGGATCGGCCAGGCTGCATTCCACTAATAAATGCACTTCATTCATTCGCGACATGGCTTGGGTTGGGCAGACTTTGGTCACGTAAGTAATGTTATTTATCGCTCTGTCTGGCCTAGTACTAACAAGCTCTTCAGAGTGGGCACCCGACATGTTAAGGTTTGGAGGCTGCCGGACGCGAGACCGGGATCTCCAAAATCTCGGCTTACTGCCGAACCAAGCGCCAGTCCATCAAACCATACTCCGAAAGCTCTGTCTGGGAGAAATTGCTTGCTGGGCTCGCTAGCAGAAAGCACGTTCACCAGTGTAGCTAGCGTTTCTGACTGCGAGTCAGTAGTAGGAACAGACACGGGGGCTCTTTGCTTCCTGGATCATAACGAGGGAACACACAAGCTGTCTGTTGCCCATTACTTTGATTATGCTATCACTTCTCTCGCGGTCGATCTGGACCGCTCATGTCTCTGGGTTGGTGGACGTGGCGGACGTATCCAGTGCATGACCTTGGCGAAATTACGTTCCTTAACCGTTCCATCTTCGCCTGCGTTTTCTGGTAGATCCTCAGTGGAACCAAGTTCAAAGGGGCCCACCATCACATGTATTGGATGCCTTGGTCCCAACTTGGTGGCAATGGACTCTAGCAACGCTCTCAAGATATTCTCGACTGAAGACTTGAGTGATGATCTGGATATCAATGATAGTGATTTGGGAAACACTCTTCAAGCTCACAGGGATGCTGTCCTTGGTATTCGTCCATTCTCGGACCCCAATGACCTTGGAGCAGAAGTCTATACCTGGTCACGCAATGGAGTTGTCAAGTTCTGGGATGACACAGGCAAGTGTCGGGACTCACGTTCGATCATTCTTGAGCATCCCACAGGGGTCAATGAGGATATCTCCAACGAGCTGAGAGTCTTGTGTGCTACTGATAACATGGATTACTTCTTGTCCGGCGACAAATTTGGTGTCCTAAGGTATCATATTGACCCGATTTGGCCATTGCTATACTCTCACTAACATACGTTTACTAGACTCTGGCTGAATCACCCATGGAAATGCATTCAAGAAGTCCGAGCTCATAGTGGGGAGATCACTGATATTGCTGTCCATTCCTCCATCCAGGGTCTTTTTATTGCTAGCGCCAGTCGCGATCGCACTATACAATTGTTTCTCTGGGCAAATGAGAGTCTTGAATTGATTCAGACCATGGACGACCACATTGGAGCTGTCAATGAAATTATTTTCATCGATAATGGAAAGCGACTAGTATCATGCTCTGCCGATCGTACCATTCAGATCAGAGAGTGCGTGAGTCGCGAGGCTCACGGCGCGTCTGCTTTCGCGTATTTGGTCTCTAAAGTGATAACATTGAAGGCCTCGCCAGTATCCATGGCACTACTACCAAAAAATGAGAACACACTCATTGTCTCCACTACTGATCGCTTTGTTCAGCGCATTGACCTGAGTTCTGGTCGACAAACTCATTCTTTCCGGACCACTGACGCTGATTCAACTGATACAGTGGTCATGAGCTCCCTAGCTGTCTCTGCCGACGATCCGGAACATGATACCCCTAGAATGCTCGTAGGAGTTTCAGGATCAGACAAGTCTATCCGTGTGTACGACTTGGACAGAGGCGTCCTTCTCGCGGCTGAATTCGGACATACCGAAGGAGTTAGCGACGTTTGTCTGCTCTCGAGGAGTTCTAAGTCATCGAGCCAAGGGAAGAAGTGCTCTCTAGTCAGCTCTGGGATTGATGGTCTCGTTATGCTATGGGATCTATCGCTGCTTGCTCAAACACCTCGAGATTCCGTGCACACTAGTAATAAGGAAGACGATGACGTTCCAACCAAAGCTTCCGCAGTCTCCAAGCCTCCTTTACGCAAAGTTCTGTCCAGGCATGAGATTGCCGAGTTTCAGCGGCAGGAGAATCTTGCGGTCACTCCGACCCCTGCGCGTGGACATTCTCCAACATTTCTGCGGAAATTCGCTAAATTATCCCTTTCCCCTTCCCTTAGATCTGGAAGCACTTCTCCGACCTCACCCGCATCGACACCTAGTCGCCGCTCACCTACGTCTGGCATTCATCGAGACAAAGCACATACATCACCCTCACTCTGCAAACAGAAGCCTCCTAGTGCTAAGAAGGCCGTGTGTAGCCGCAAAGAATCTCGCCGTTCATCTATGGACTTCCGGGCTCGTGCTAGGAGTATGGGGAAAAGCGATCTCGGCGCACTCGATACGTCCACCGAACAAGTATGTCGAACATTAAAGGCTTACCGTAAAAAGCTCAACAGCTCGACAGAGTATTTACATACTCAGAGGGATTTGGAGAGGGAGCTAGAGCTCACGCTGCGTGTGTTGGCCTCCCGGAACAGGACCCGTGAGACCCTCGAGAACGATACCGACAGCAGCGGCAAGGAAAATCAGAAGATATCTCGAATCGGCAAGTTCCATGAAGACTCATATAGCACCGAGCGACTATCTTCGATGCCGGAAGTTCAACGGACAGATTCGTTCGCGCCCTCAGAGATCTCTTCCCTTATTCTGAATGGCGATGATTGAACAAATGAGATTCAATGGCAGGCCCATTGCACTCTTCTATCACATTCTAGGGACCACAGTATTTCCTGGTCATCCTCTTTCCTTTCTGCCCCTCAACTGTCATAACATATCATTCAAGCGGGACCTATGCACTTTGATTTCGCCTTGATGAGTTCATCGGTTACACCACCTTAGCTCTAAGCGTTTCAGGTGCCTCGATGTACTTTTTCCTCGTTTTAACCTCTCATTTGCGAGGACTTCACATTTCAGGAGATATATCCTTCATTTCTTACCGGCGTTCTATGCAAGGACACATTTGAGTTCGCGGTCCCCATCCAATCCAGTCGCTATGCTGCGGCATCATTTAGTCTTCTTTCTACTTAAGGTGAGGGCTTCGCTCCTGGGCTGGGATTTTTACTTCAAGTTCATATGCCCCTGTCCTTAAACCTTCTTTATACTCTTCCTCGAGCGCATTTCTTTGGTGTCATTGGTTCTTTCCCGGAAAGTTGTTCAACCTCCTTTCACTTGCATCACATCCTTTATGTTGGCCTTGTTAGCTAAGCTCAAAATGATACCCATATTGGCCGAATACCATAGCAAGCCTAACTCTGATGGTTCTTGCATCGGGATATGGATCTTTCCCATACGTAATTGACCGTGTCTTTTTCCGTGTTAGATTTTAATCGATCACCCAGCTACATATAGACCTGTCACACTTGCCCCTCATATCAAGTTGGTAGCTGAGCCATAGACTCGCTCATACATTCATAATGCGGAGGTGGAGGCGGAGAAAACACTTGCCACCTACAGCTGAAACCTCCCAATTTAGACCATCCCACCCGACTCCTTGTCCATTGACCCCGATCCTTTCACCCCTCCCACCATCAACTTCCCATACCTCGCCCTCAACAACTCCCCCAACGCACCACCCCCGCCATCCTCCCCACCCACGCCATCCACCACCACCAGCAGCAAGTCCGCCAACGCAATCGCCTTGCCCGCCCACCGCCGACACTCCCCATCCTCCCCGGCCAGATAGAAATCCACCGCCCGATTGAACGCCACCGACGCCATCCACTGCACCTCCACCGCCGGGAATTCAGTCATCTGCCAGTCCCGCACGAGGACCAGGACCTGATCGAGGACCGACTCCGCGAGATCGGGCTGGCTTGCGTCGAGGGCGAGATGGTACAGCACGTGCAGGTACCGGGGGAGGGTCTGATACATGGTGGTGGTGATGGTGGTTGTTTTCGTGGATTCAGTGAGGTCGGGGGAGGGGGAGGTGTGGATTGTTCGGAGGAGATGCTTTTTTTTTAAGTTGTGGTTAGAATATGCTGTGTCTAGGCGTTGCTTTGGGGCTTGATGGGGCTTGGGCTTGGAGGTTGGAGGGGTGGTTTGTATTCTTCTTCGTATTGGGGAGGGGGGACGTACCTTGATGGATTGGATGATGTTTGTGAGAGGGGTGGTGGTGCTGGCGCAGAGGAGGATGTCGAGGTAGATTGCTGTTTGTTGGGGAGTGAGGATGGGAGAGGAGAGGTGGAATAGGTTGGTTATGTGGTTCCAATTACTGCTGCTGCTGCTGCTGCTGCTGTTGCTGCTGTTGTTGTTGTCGTCGTCGCTGTTGAGATGGATTGAGGCTTCTAGGTCAAGGGCGAGAATGATGCGGTATTTTGGGAGCCAGAAGGCGGTGCTGTCTGAATTCAGGCTTGCGGTTGAAGCGGGAATGGCGTTTGAGGGCAAGTTTGGAACTGGAGTTGGGGTTGCTTTGGAATTGTAGGGCCACTGGTGGTAGTTGGTGAGGTTTGCTTGGAAGGCCATGCTGGATTCATGGGCTGCTGTGTAATGGGTTTTCTGGATGTCAAGGGGTTTGAGTTAGGGTTATGGATGATGGAAAGGGGCCGGGGGGAGGGGGCAAGATGACCTTCTTTGTTGGATCGGTGGTTTGTCGCGCAAGTGATATGTGCTTGGTTGTCTTTAGAAATCGACACAGGAGGTACGTGGTGTTGAGTGGTGGATCGGTTGAATTGACTTGTTCCTGGTGTAGGGTTGTGAAATAGAGGCTGGTAAGTCTGGATATTTGGAGATGGAATGGAAGCGGCTGTCTTCTACCTTGATGGATGTTTCAACGAGACTCAGGGTCTGCTCAGTTGGTTCCGAGTCCCGTAGTCTCAGCGCCAGGTTGTAGCTCTTCTTCGCAAGCCACTCTATCTCGTCGGTGGTGAAAGCCCCTGCTCGCTTCTGACCGGGAAACCTATCTATGGCTAATCGGGTTAGCTAACACTTTGTCGGACTTGTTAAGAGGCCACGCACCTGATTCAAATGCAAATATTATTGCATCTACTAGCCCTTCATCTTTGGCATCGCAAGCGTCGAGTTCAGTGACAAGATATAGGATGGTAGACATAGGATTATTGTCAGTCGGGAAAGCTGATGGTGCACTCAACTTCACACATACTGAAATACACGCCCTGTCTGGTTGTCGAGTTGAAGGCCTTCCTTGCTCAAAAAAGTTTGCTGAAGACATTGAAGTGCCTCTATCATCTTTCCCTGTCGAAATGCTTCCGCTATGCATGATATGATATACGGCGATGATGTCTCAACGAGCTCGAACAGTGCTTGCATATAGACAAAACCTGTGCCTTGTTAGAAGGCTAGAAACAGGGAGCAGGAGAACTGCCTACTAGAAGTACATGTATTATTCCACAGGGTCAACTTGTACATCAGATACAAAGTCAGCGGGCAATGTCTGCATTCTTCTGGCAGATGGTTGAAAAGTGTATCCGCAGCGGTTGTGCTCAGTGTCTCAGAAGCACAAAGAATAAGTCTCCTATTTCTTCGTCAGCTTTGATGGGAAGATGTGGCAATCTTTCTTACCTGAATAGCTTAGATCTGGTGTCGGAGGAAAGTGGAATGACTGGCTGTTTGAGCATGAAGAGACACCATTGTTCTGCGGAGAGTGCATCATGATCCGATATCGCTCGATTTATGTGCTTCCAGACTATCTTTGACTCGCTCAGTAACTGATAGTCGACCATAGGATTGAGAGAATACCATCAAACAAGCTTGTTGTGCTTCTACGCTAAGGAATTGCGTGTCGAAATTCAGGTTTTCAACAACCTCCTTAAAGAGTCGCAGGCTCGCCTGTGCAGAGAAGCATGGATTTGTCAGAGCATCGACTAGCCTGACAAAGACATGTTCGAGTAATCGGTGTTCATGATCAAGGCGCGGACTCCCAGTCATCTCAGTCAGGAGCCGCTCTAGTGCATGAAAATACATTTCGGGACTGCTGCATGTCAGGATAGGGGTATCAGTTGCTCACATGGTGACTCACGAGTCCTGAAGCTTGTCGATATAGTAAAGGATCCTATTAAGGGTTACTGAGCTGCCTTGTCATTCGAGCTGAGCATCCGCACATTCTGAAGCTACTTTCTGAGGCATCCACCGCCTTGAGGGCGTCTTGTAGTACTGCCATGAATATCAGTAACTGCTCTTAATTATAGTGGCACAACTCACCTTGAAAGTACTGTTCCACATCCCTGTCCCCTCGAGCAAGAACTTCAAGCTCGAGAAGCCGAATTGAAAACACATTGCTATATAGCTAAACACGCATGGGCATAGAAGCATTACTGGAGAATGGGCCCACTTACAGATTTGAGCTGCTCGAGGGCTCTCGCAAGATTGTCTCGAGAGTCATGCGTATCAAGATATATATTCGCTCGAACTGTTCCAAAGTCAGTATATAAAATATGAAAGACCCAGATAGTCCAGGGCCCACACCTAAAGCATGCAGAATCAGAAGCGCCTTATTCCGCAAAGCTACATCAGATTCTTTGGAACTGGAAACGAGCAGCTTGCATTGCTGCAACCCCCTTTCCAACCACTTCGCCGCCACATCGTACTGCCTGCATGACAATGCCGAGCTCCCAACCTTGAAGCAAACATCCAGAGCACAGCAGTCGCCAGTGTTCAAGTCAGGAAGTTTCAGAAACAAATGATCTGCAATGTCCAGTCTGCCTTGAATCCAAGCCTGAATCCGGTCCTCCCCGTCAGCAGCGTACAGTACCCAGACTTCAGCTCCGCGCAACAAGATGAGACATACCAAGTGGACCCGAAGCGCATAGTAATGCACGTTGCACTGGCGCAGTCTCGCTTCATCGACATCTGTATCCAAGTGCGCGAGCGCATCCAGCCGCATGGCTACCGCTTCGATGATTTTTAAGCTGATGGCGACGCAATCATGTTCTGAGGCGCATGTCAACATGGGCTGTGCCCGTAGCCAATGCTCGCTTTGACAGTCATACATACCTATACAAGTCTTGATCAGCTTGTAAGCTGTCTCCAAGACTCTGAAACTCCCTGGTGCAGAGGTGGGTTAGTAGTGTCAGACATCCTTGTGGACCATAAGGCTATACCTATACTCCTATTCGAGACGGCAGTGTCGAGCATAGCCCATGCGAACGCTTTGACTACGTCTCCGCTCAGTCTCGATACCTGAGATTATACGGCAGATAAGGGTGTATGTACCTTTGCACAAGACCACGGATGTTGTAGGGTCGCTGCAGTTCGTCATACGCTGCGTGCAGCTGTTCCACAGTTCCGTGCCTGCGTGGTTCAAGCGCCGGCGGATGGAGGAGGAGGAGGTGCCTGTGGAAATTGGCAGATGACTGAGATAGCTGTCTAGCTTGTTCGACGTGGCTGCATCCGAAAGTAGACTTGGGTCTTCGTGGTCGTCTGCCTGGACTTGCTTCTGAATTTCGCCTGCGAAGGCTGGGCGAGGTAAGTACAGTACATGGGCGCACTTCACTCTGGTGCGAGGTAGTCTGCTTACATAGAATGGCCTCTCCTGCCATTTTAGAAATCCGAGACGGGCTGCAGATGGTTGTTATGAAGTAAATCCTTGACTTGGAAGGGAACTGCACGATACCCCTGGGCGATGTAGTGGAAGTGCATGGCTCGTGTAAGTAGGTTGCTACTCCGCACTAGGACAAAGGGTGGTCCTGATACACAATGGCATCGGGGACCACCTGACCGGCATACTCCCTATATGTATGGCACTACAAATATAGCAGGCTTTGACTCTTAGAAGAATCTCATTTTCTTGAACCCAAATTATAGTACATTTCCTAAAACTGGGAAGCTGTTCAAGTCAGGAAGTTATTACCTGGCTCCTGTGAAGCAAATGACAAAGAAATGGATATCTATGGACCAAAGCTAGATGAAAGTGTGAATGATGACTCCGTACTGAAGCGAGAAACAGCAGACAACGTGAAGGCGATGGACTTCATTTTGCTTTCCGCTACGAAGGTAAGAAGTTTCCAATTATGAGAGATGGTCTGTTTTCGAGGAGAGTTAGTGTTCCATCGCCGATTCATTCCTTTGAGAATTGACTCACATGTTGTGGTTATCTCTCCGTATGGTGAATGAGAAGCAGCAGGGAATACCGTCAGTAGACGAATTCGAATTGGGATTTTTCAATGTGCAGCTTGTGAGCATTGCCTTTTGGGTGCTATCGAACGCAATCGCCCCGAACTTCTCCCAGTAGCTAACAAGCTGGTCTTCCACAATGATTTCATGGATAGCCAATTTACCCTGTGTAATGTTAGCATCCATTCGTCTCCGGCCAAGGAGACCAAAAACGACTCACATCGCGCAAGGACTCGATAGGAACGCCGATCAGCTCTGCCATTTCTTTGTTCCCTCGAAAGATCTCTCCTGTTCGTCTCCAGCAGCAAGCAGGAATAGCCATACTAGCAAAAACACGATCATACTCCATCAGACTGCGTTCGAACCACATCTCCACCAATATCAGCTCGATATCGGTCAAACTTTGCATCCTCTCCCGAAACTTCGGCCGGAATTTATCCAGCTGTCGAAGAATCTTCTGCCGTGAAGCTTGCTGGAGGTGTCTTTCCATATACTGGTTCAACCTTGCATAGCCCTTGACGTAATTGAATGGTCTCAAGAGGCCTGCGTCATACTTGGCCTTGAGAAGTTTGTTCATTCGCTCCTCTGGTGGATCTGAGCCTGAAGGATCAGCTGCAGTCATGTAATATGTCTCTCTTGCCTTGTCATTGCCCACTGCAGCAGCAGGGCCCTGAGCAGATTCACTCTGGGTTTGCTGATGCTGCTGATTCTGATTCTGTTGCGACTGTGCCTGTTGGGCTTGCTGGAGCATAGACGGGTTTGATCCTCCTAAGGTAGCCATGGAGTTTATCAATGTCGGGTCTGAATAGACCCCATGCAGATCATCATTTTGGAAAACCGATCCATCGTCAAGGAGACTATTACTGAGAAAGTCCCCAAGAAGGTTGTACTCGTTGGTGACCTCGGGCGCATTGAACATATAGGAGGGATGAAATGAGTGCATGTCTTGAAATTGGCTTTGCCCGCCAATCCATTCGTTGAAGGGAAGTACTGTGTAATCGCGTCAGTGACAATTCTCCAACGTCATCTTCATTAGGTGGCGTCTCACCGGAAGAAGACATATTGCCCGGCTGCTGCACCGAGGGCACAGAGGAAGCCGATAGGCCCATTGTCGCATCGGGGAGGATTTGCTGACCGGCAGCATCCTGGACATCGACCGTTCTGGGCATTCCTTGGATGTTTGGATACTCGTTGTTCGAAGAGGCTTCGTCATCCGCAGCCGAATGCTCGTTCTCGCTCCGGGACCGCTTGGAAGACTCTCGAGGCTCGTCATGGCACAGGTGGCCGATGTTCCGCTTTATACATCGTGTACAAGGTCGTTCCTATCAAACAAATATCTCGCGTCAGTATGCCTGACTCATTGGGAAACACCCTGTGCAAAAGACGTTTCACAAAGGGTGTTGGAAGGAACAACGTTCAGGAAGGTCGTACCGAGTCGCAAGTCATATGCTGTGCCACGTGGAATACCCTCCTGTTAGCAAGTGAACCACTTTGGGATATCGATCAATTTGTTCTCAAAGAGCGGAATGCCGCTCTAGACATGGCCAAGGAAGGTGGTTTGGCGGCCGCATGTGAGAGAGGCTTACCGATCGCCGACAGTAAACGCATGCTAGCAGTCATTTTCGCATCAGCCAGCCATTCGGGACGGGAATCTATGACAGAGAGAGCCCATAGATTCCTACCGTCACCCTAGCAGGGCCCATGGCAGAGACTATCTACTTACCATGATTGACCTTACGGCGCTTCTTCGGACTCGAGTGAGCCCCCACCGCAACCATTTCACTTTTGGGGCCCTGTGTGCCCAGCAGTTCCTCCTTTACATTCGGATTTTCTCGCGTGTGTTCGCCATTTGCTATGCTGATTCTCGATTTATCGGTTGTCCCGTTGTTGGGTTGGTGTTCGGGCCCTGTACCCGGATGCGCTGCGCTTTTCTCCGTCATTGATCGCTGGGCGCAAAACTGTTGCGCAAGAACGGGATCGATGCTGAGATCAATTGATTCGACTGGCTCAGGGCGCTCCAAGGAGGATGGCAAGTTGCAGACATTCAAGGCTATGTGGAAATTGGGTTGGGCAATAACGGTTAACAGTTTCGGTTGCTTAGTTGCGGCGTCGGTCTTGTAAACTGCTCAGTAGAAATTGCGAGGATGCGCGCGAATGCGATCGGCTCATCGAAGTTCCCCGCTGGAGCGGGACTTGGATCTTTGAACTCCCGGGCTCCTCCGCATTGGGAGGGGAGGGGTGAACAGAACGGCGGCTAATCTGTCAGCCTCGGGAAAGACTTGGCCCTGGAGCCACAGCCCATGTGCCACATTAGACTAATCAAATATGAGTATAGTAACTTACTGTACAGAGCAGAAACTAGGTTGCGTCGAATGATCTTTTAACTATAAATGCCTCATACAAAAAAAGGAAGTCCCTCGGTTAAACTCACTACATGTTGCTTGGAAACTCTTACGTTCAACAAATATTGAATGGTATGATTTACGCTCTTGTGAAGTGAAAGCACGTGGGCTATGCCTCAAAGTAGTATGGTCTTCAACACGAACTATTCTACACGCAAATAGGTCACTTGCATTTGCAGGCCCGAGCCCACAGCATTCTTAGATATGTGCTCGTCTTTGCGTGCCAGTTTGTAGGCCAAGCGACCCATCAGTCCACTGTCTGGTGTATGTTTCACTGCTTGACTCGAGACCCAGTTTCTCGTATATATGTTCAGTGCATGTATCGCCAAGATATGCGGACCCTGTAAGCAAAATATTGGCCCCTTCATACCGAGGCCATGCACGGGGGCTTGATGCATTAGCTTGAAGGAATCCGCTCCTCGATCGTTGCTGTTGCAATTGGAATATTTGGCTGAGTTTGTGAGGACAGCGTCACTGGTTCGGCGTTCAGGGCCCCCCTGGCCCATGATGATGTCGCTGTGCAGACTTCGCCGTACCATTGAAGGAAGATCGGCCTCAAATGAACAGCATGAGCTGCAAGTTTTGTTTTATGAGCTTGTTTGCTTCAAAGTTGCTTCAGTCTTCAGGAAGGAAAGTCAAACTCAACGCCGCTTGAGATTTGGCGACAGCATCGCTCAAGCCAGTCAGAGGAGTCATGTTGTTTTGCATCGACTTGAGATGGCCATTCAACTGTTCTAATAGACCAAGAACTTCTGGATCGGCCTCAAGCTAAATAGGGCTTGTCAATAATGTGGCCGTACAGTTTGAAAAAGAGCTCCTACCTCATCAAACATAACGTGTGCGTCGTTGTCATTTGCTATGGTAAATCCGCACTGGTTCGAATCGTGGTTATCAGGAGCGTTGCTCAGCTGCCGTAGCACCGGATGTTCCTTGATCAAAATGAGAATCAGCAACTTAATCTTGCTATCACTGAACAAGATCCTTACATTCTTCATCTGCCTCTTTCTTTCTGCCTCAACTCCCTTTGCATTTCTCTCCATCTCCTGCAGCTGTTTCCTCTCTTTCTCAAGGAGTGCTTCCTCTTTCTCTACCTCAACCTTCAATAGATCGATACTATCATTCATCGTAGCTAAAGCAGCCTCTAAAGAAGACTTGACTTTGAGGTTAGACCAGTTTCCGAGTCGATCGATCGATGGTGGAATCGCCTTACATGTTCTTTGAGAGCTGCTTCGTACTCAAACACAGAATCTTTCGCGACGGGGGGGAACGGCATTCGCGGCAGTCGTTTTCCCAAACTAAGCGACAGTATGTGGTCAGTTCTAGTGCCGAGAGTCTAACGGCACGTGTCAGGGACAGTACTTTTTCACAACAGCCTGCACGGCGGCCTGCGCTTCGATGCGCTTGCTCTCATTTTGTTGTCGCATGATGACAGGGCGCTCCAGGGCTCGGAACATATCGCGAACTTTGTCTTGAACGGGTTCGGGAAGCGTCGACCACTTGCTCTTGATGGTCCTCTCAGAGACCTGCCTGACTTGGGGCTTGAGGTAGGCGAATCGCTTGTTGCGTGCATTGCTATCGTGGTCCGGCGCATGGCTCGCACGCTTTCGTTTCGGAGGAGGCATGTTCTTAAAGGGCCCGCGGGACGTTCCTCTCGGTTGAATCTTCGATTTGGAAATCAAGGCTCAACGATGGTTGTGCGATTGATGTTGTCACATTGGGATGGTTTGGTGGTTCTTGCGGAGTGTCGGACTGTTGTCCGGTCCCAGAACAACAAACGGGGGCGGATCACATGACATTTTGTTTCCCATGCGGAACTAAACAACCTTCGTAAAAGGCTAGGCTAAGCCGCTACAGCGATGCGGAGCACCCCCGCGAAACTAGTACTGTCCAATACTCCGTACAAACCTCATCATTGTTAAGTGCTTCCTACATTGCGCGGCCGCAAACTTTTTCAGACCTAAGAATGTATGAGTATCGGTGCGAAAATCAGATACACTTCAGTGTGTCGTACTAAGCCGGACGCTCTGGTGAGAGAGTATCTGTCGTTTATTGGCTCGAAAAGGTGTCTGCGCTCCGTTAAATATTTTGGTTTGACTTGTATCTGCATAAAAGACAAGCAAAAAAGTGACCTTTGATGATCTTGTGCGGCGCTCAAAGTACTGGCGCTGATTGAGAAGATTTTATTGTGTTTAGTTTGATC